AGAGAGAGAGAGAGAGAGAGAGAGAGAGAGAGAGAGAGAGAGAGAGAGAGAAATTTCTTCAAAACAAATCCAAAGTCTAGAACACATTTTAGGTTGAGCATATGGTATAATCTCTTGGAGCCAGATATAAATGAGCTTAATTAAGTGCAAAATCAAGCACAATGTACCCTTTTGCCTTGGAAAGTTCATTTCACTGACCCATATTTCATGGAGATTAGGGATTTAAACTCTGATGCTAGTTAAACTCTTATGCTAGTTAAACTCTGGTGCTATTGTGTTTTTCCATGTACCCCAGATCATCAATATCTTTTAAACAGAGAAACCCCGTAAATGTGTTGTTATGAACTTTGAGAGAAGTGAAAGTTTTCTATTTGCCCTTCGTAATAGTACATTCTCTTTTTCCTTATCCAAGTTATAAGTATGCAAAATTAGAGAGTCCATATACTACCAACTTCTAAATATTCAGAGGTTATTTATTTTAAAAAACATTGCTCTGAAAATAACTTAATTCTTTTGTTACAGGAGATAACTGCAAGATCAATGCATACAGCAAGATGAAAAGCATGCTTTTAGATTTACAAAATCAAAAATACATCACGGAAGAAAATGAAAATCCCAATGCAGATGACGTATCTTGGAAGAAGCTGTTGGTGGATCAAATGTTTAAATATTTTGATGCAGACAGTAATGGACTTATAGATATTAATGAACTAACTCAGGTATGATTAATGATTAAACTGACAACCTTAAAAGTAAGGTACACATTACATTTATATTTTCAGAATTAACTATGTAATAATAAAAAGTATATTTTGTGTTATCAAAGAATATAGGAATACAGTTAAAAAGTAACAGTTGACTACTTTACCAGCAATATTAATTTCAAGTAACCATTCTAGGATGTTATACAATTTAAAAGAGCTGTCTACTTTGGATAGATTTTTATATCTTAAATATCTAAGTGAATTACAATTTTTCTACCTTATGGACTTTATCAAATCTCTCCTGACACATTCCAGAGTGTGTGTGATGTGAAATTTCTGTCGTCTGAAGAGCTGGTTTGTACAGTCTTCAGAGACTGACATAGCGAAGGCTCACATCGCTAGCGCACTGCGGATAGCTGATCTAAGACATGAGATTTGTTTACTGCCCCAGCACTTTCACTAAACGAAGACCAATTATAATGTATTCAGTGTGGTTTTAATGTTATTCCGTTTTATCAAATACTACTTCTTGGAAATAGAAGCAATATGAGAAATTACTAAAGAGAAGACAACAGAAAATCTTTCTTTTGAACCATTTTGGCAAAAGAGAATTGTTGTTGTGTGTCACTGAGGCCTGACTGCGGTGTGTTTCACTACCTCTGTAGCTTCTGGTCATCTTGGACATTCCCTGGTATTCCTTAGATTGCAGGGGAATCATTCCATTCTTGACTTCCATGGTCAGATGGTGATTTCCCCATGTGTGTTCTTCATATTGCCTTTTTTACATGGACATGAGTTATATTGCATTTAGAATCTGTCTTTATCCAAAGTGTCTCCATTTGTTATCTAATTACATCCACCATGACTATTTCCAATTAAAGTCAAATTCTTAGAGGTTGGGAGTTAGCACTTTAAAATATCTTTTGAGAAGTACAATTTAGCTTATAATAAAAATCATCCACTGCAAAGTTTTTTTTTTTTTTCTCAGCTACCTTTAGTCTGTCTTTGACTTAAGTGTGAAATGAGTTATTTCAATTCCTCTGAAAAGCGTGATGTGAAAGCAGAAGATGCTTTTGGAATCTCATTTATATGTTGCCCAACTTTCAAGAGGTACATCAAAGCAATAAGCTAGAAAGGCTGTGGTTGCTGACTCCTTTTTGACTATAGAAAGACAACTTGGTTACTTCTTGGTAATGGCAATTACCAACTCATTTTATTGAACACTCACAACGTGTCACTTGATGCAGCAGCCCTTTCCATAATTCCAGTCACAGAGGTGAGCAATAGTCAAGGGCTGGAAATGAGATCTGATTTGCCATGTAGGAAGTAGATTTAGAGAGATTCAAGATCAGCCTTGGAGGGCTGACGGACGCTTTGGGGCTCTATAGAACAGGAGAACAAAGCAGTGGTTGGGAGTTTGTGTAACGGGTTTTATGTGGCTGAGAGCACAGATAGCCATGGTCAAGGTATGATCTGGCTCTTGGGTGTCTCAGCACTGGTTCTGCAGTGTGGTGGAAGCACCTTCACTGAGGATGTGATTTCATTCCCGTCATGACAAAATGACTCCTGCTTTCGGAGGAAGCTTCAGTTTCCATCATGGGGTAACTGTTCTCTCTTGCGGGGTGACTTCTAAGTGGATCGGCCTGGGAGGCGCTCCTTTTCCTGGAATTCAAGGTGACTGCAGGTTTAGGAAAATGACTAGAGACTTCTGAGCACTGCTTCAGGGTATTTGGAACTGGCTTTCATGAAACGGGTCATTAGATGCTTCTGCAAATCCTGACATCTAATGTCTTTAGTACATATAGTTATATTCGGACTGTTTATTTTCTCTTGTATAAATTTTATAAAATTGTATGCTTCAAGGATTGGTCCATTTCTTCTCATTTTCTAGTTTGTAGCATAGAGTTGTTCACAGTAATCCTTTATTTTCCTTTTAGTGTCCACAGCTTCTTTAGTGATGCTCCTTTTGCACACACCCCACATCCACCCTCCCTTCAATGGGAATGTTCCTGTGCCTCATCCACCCGTACTCCACGGTGCAGGAGTGGAAGTTTCAGTGGATGGGCTCGCTAAAAACATACAGGAAAATTTTGCTTACTGGTAACAAATATCTTTTACTTGTGTTTTTAAATTACTTCCAAGAAACTTTTAAGTGCTTTAAAGAAACTATATATCAAGTATTGTAACTAATAATACATTTGATAGTCATAAATTTGGACACTTGTAATATCATTTCTCCTATGAAATGTAAAAATAACTTGAAGGAATCAAACTGGAAATGATGCTAATGGGTTTGTTAATAATTTAAACTACTATTAGTAGAATATGAAACTTGTAACTGTAAGTTACTGTTGGCTATAAGTAAAATTTAAAAACCATAACTGATTATGAAGTTTTATATGTGCAGAATGAAAACTGTCTGCATACATTCTGTTTTTACTCTACATAGTGATTTTTTCCAGTTTTTCATTTTAAAGAAAATACTACAAAAAAAGAACAATAGCAGAATACAAACAAAACAAAGCAAGGACATTAAAAATGATAGGGGGTTTCTAACCAAATGATAGGGATTAATAGGGGTTGTAACATTATACATTATTATCTTCAACAAAGTTGCTCACATTACCAGATGTAAGAATACAAGATTGATCAAATCATTAAAGGGAATAAGAAAATAATAATTTAAAAGCACATTAGAGACAATACATAGTTTCACTAGACAGGATTGAAGGAATTCACCAGTGGTTGTTATACTGCAAATTGTTGTCACATAAATTGCTGAGATTACCAGATATAAGCATGCAGAATAGGTCAAAATATTAAAAAAAAA